CGTTTAAAGGTTGACGTAATTGACGTAAGATATTTGACGTTTCTCTCAGTCCATAGGCGTCCACGAATTTTTTTTTTGGGGGCAGGCAACCCGAAAAGCGCCGTCCTTAACGTCTTAAGTTTTGTTATGTGAAGTCAGTGGTCGGTAAATTGCGGCTCCAGAGCCGCCTGTGGCTCTTTGGCTCCTTAAGTGCGGCTCTGGCACAAATATTTATTAAGTATGAAATTTAGTTGTATTTAGTGTAATAAAAGTTTAGTAAACAAGCAGATTTGGCTCCCAATTTTTTTTTAAATTGTTGTAATGTTCATATTTAGCTCTTTGGCTAATAAATTTGCCGATCACTGTGTTAAGTTATGTAATAATTTTTAGATGGCTCTGCTATTACACTAGATATGAATTTAAATTATACTATCTGTATATTCGGTTGCATATGTGAATTGAGGGCGTGTACTTACTGACTAGGGCCTGTCCGTTCCTATTGGATCGCCTGTGTTCGGTGGGCAGATTTGTAGGGCGGGTTGCGCAACCGCGGCCGTGGATGTCTATCGGCTTCGCGAGGTTCTGTTGCAAACTACGTTCAATCATTATTTTCTTACAAATGTCTCTAAGAGTATTCGCGATCGTTCTAGCCGGCATATCGCATCTAAAAACGTGACACATATGCTTACGCGTCGTTCTATCTCTCGCTACGTATGCAAAATCCCTATACGAACAAAAATCGAAACAAATCAATAATCGATAACGACACACACACACACAACAAACAGTAGAATCATTTAGTTATTATCGTATATAAATAGTTTTAGAATGAACGAACAAACAAATCTAAATCCATCAATCCAGGATATAAACTTAATCAACAACTAATTAAATGTATGTGCATGCAAACGTGAGGATAAAATACACTAAATCTTAAGATTACAACGTGCAAGGTGATGTTTTCTGATCATAAACTATTGCACTATTCTATTTGATATTAATTGATTAGGTTCTGTTGAAGCGAGTGCAAAATAATAGTAATAAAGTAAACATGCCAACGTAAAAGTAATATAAAAGAATATTTTTTTTATAAATATATGAAGGAATTCTATTTCGTATCAATTTTTTTTTATGGTAATAATAAAGGATCTAAATCGAAATTGCAGATGTGAAATGATCGAGACTACTGAATTTAATTAGTGAAGAATGAGTGAACTGTAAATAGTAAATGGAAATAGTAGAAATGTAGAAAAACAGAAAACAACTCGCATGCGGATTATCACTTAGTTAGAGGTTTAGTATACGTTAGTAACGTTCTGTAAAGAGTGAAGATAGAATTACCTTTCCCTGGTGAGTTTCCCAAAAACAAATGCAAAAGACAAAGAAACAAAAAAAACGAAATCTGTTAATCTCATGTATCCAAGGGAAACGGTAGAAAAAGAGAAGTCGGACGAAACAAAACACAAAACCGTACCAACACACAATGAGTGTAAAAGAGAAAGAGAAATAATAACATTTAAAAAAAAAATATAAAAATAAAACGATAATAGCGCACACAACGTAAAATAAAGTTTAAAAAAAAAAGACTGTAGCTATGTTCCATGTACATCGGAAGCGATCTTTGTAGATGGAAAGTTTTTTTTTATATAGTCTTTAGAGTTTGATTGTTGTAATGATTCTTGTAATTTCTTAAAATTGGGTATGTTTAAATGGATTCTTTCTTCTACAGTGATGGCTTCGAATAGAATTTGTGTGCGCCACACAAATCTAAGTATGATTAGTGTTTTCTTCTGTCGTAATAAAAAAAAATTAAATTTTCGGGGTAATGTTTTTTTTGTTGGTTATTTTTGTTGTTGTTGTTGTTTGGAGAAGTTGAAATTACCTTCCGTTATCCCTGCCGACACCCCAGACGCGTATAGTGTGTATCGGCTGTGTGTTTAGGACGGTCAGGTTCTCAGGATCGATGAGCTTGAGGGCGCCCTCATCCAAGTCCATGAATAAATCTTTTCCCTGTACAAAGGAATTTAGTTATTTATTTTTTTTTTAAGATCATTTTGAAAGAATGTAGCATTACGTCGCCCCATCTTCCGACGACGTCCAGCAGATCGTTCCTCCCCAACGACAGATCCACGATGCATTTGTTGACGGCTTTGCTGCTTCTCTCTGGCGTCAGATCCTCCTCGGCGATCTCGACCCAACCCAGCGATCGCACGGCGAATCTGATTGGCCGCTCTTTGGATTCGGGCTCCGCCCTTGCAGGATAGCTCCTCCTCCTGAAAAAAAAAACAATCGACAATCAACCAATCATCGAGATCATCTATCATAAGCATCATACTTGAATGCCACGTCTTCTTTCTTCTTGCGCTCCTCGAACTCGGCGTCCAAGGCGGAACTGGTGCTGCTCCTCGTCACCGAGCTCGTAATGCTCTCGAATTTCTGCAGGAGGCTGTCCGTCTCCTTGCCAAAGTCCCCGTTCTTCAGATCCTTCAAATTCTCGCACGGCATTTCCGGTAATTCGCGCTGTATAGTTCCGCTCTTGATGTGCCAATAGTAAGGACCATCGTTGTCTGCACACGAAAACAAAAATTAAATAACAAAAAATCATTTCATTTACTTTACTTTACAACCTTCGTGCTTTTCCCAACCCGGAGGAAGATCTGTTTCATCGCTGCGCTCCTTATCCGGCGACGATGATACGATGTCCTGCGATGAGGACTTCTGTCTCCTCTTCACTGGGATCGCATAAAGATCGTTGTTGAGTTCTCCCGGGATGTGAGGGATGTCCGCGTTGTCATCGTTATCCCTGTTGTCTTTAATATGCTTTATGGATTTTTCGCAAACGCTGCAAGCAACAAGAAAACGACGAATATTAGAGACGTTTCCATTACGCTTTTTCAAAATATTCAACAAATCGTTTATATGTGTTTTCAATCCTAAAGTCTACAAGAAAGTTGCTTCGCTCGTCGTACAGATATACTTCTATTACAACTAGAAATGATGCATCTTACGTACTTGGATTGATCTTTGGTGATTGCTTTGCTATCCACCATAGAATTTCCATTGCTCTCAAAGCCCCTAGAACATCACTTGCATTATTATCCACTGCGTCTAATTTCGACATAATCTAAGTCTTCTCCATATTCACATCATTCAAACAATAAATATAGATTTTTTTTTAATCGACACGAATGAAACTGTTTTCAAATATCTCAGCAGATGTCTCTCACCGTATTTTTCTTTAAATTCGAACAAATGCAACCGTTGCACCTTAATTCTGGCAAATAATAAAATCTCCATGATGTTTACATAATAGATGCCAGTGAATGGATAACGGACTGCAAAATAAGGCATATGGGTTTCCTAGATCACCGTAAGCTTTTATTATAGGCAACACTATAAACTTGATTTGAATAGAATTATTTCCTGCTTAATAACATTCCCATTTAGACGCTATTGCTGTGTAATAAAATACAGTAATTATTATGTTTTTACAATGTCTGCTTTATACAAATGCAAGTTTAATTCTATTTGACTTTTAAGTAATTCGAATTTGACACTTTGGGTAGGCGACACACTAAACAAAAAAATGTTTATTTTTTATAGGCAACAATTTGAGAAAGCGCCATCTGCATGATATAAGTTCCGTTTACAGACCAAAAAAAAAACTGATGAATAATTATAAGATTTCGCAATAATTATACGTTGGGTCGCAGAAAACGATGATCGCATAAATTGAAACAGTTTCGTGCTGCCGAACGCTAATTACATACTTTCGCCGCTCGAGTACTCTTAATGTCCATGTTTTTGAAAGAGTTTACCTATCAATTTCCATACAAATAATCGTATTATATTGTACCGTACGTGAAATTGATGTTGTTATTCACGTTATGTCCACCGTGCGTTTGTAAATCAAATGTGATTGCTTCTTTTTTTTTTTGGGAAGATTCGAGATTAATTTTTGATTTGTTTGTGGCTTCGGGGTTATTTCATACATACGAGACTACATATAAGGTGTGTGTGTGTATCTGATCAGAATTGAGCGCTTCCACGGAATGAGGTCTGATCGAGATTGATTTCGGATCGGATAGCGGAGGAATTGGTTGGGTATAGGAAACCCACTCACGGTCAGCTATGTTTATGAAATGAGCCGCCGGAATAGCCCTTTCCTTTTATTTTCCTTCACCTTCTGAAGATGATGAAAAGAAGATGAGGAATAAGAAGGTGATGAATGTATTGTAACGGTTGCAGCGACACGAGGAGTTGGGGGGATGGACGATCAATAGCGCCCAACCATATGGCCCGGAAAACTGGGCTTGAATACCGATGGACGGAATAAATGGATGGTTGCAGAAGTTCGGGGTGCGCACACACACACACACACAACAAAACAGACTTTATAAACGAATTCCCGTCCGGAATTTCGCATTAAAACGGAATTGGCAGACTGGAGAGAAGCAGAAGGAAAAGCACGTAAAAGTGCACGCTTCTATTCTGTTTTTTTTTGTTTGTTGTTGTTTTGTTTTAAACAAACTATGAGAGGAATGAAGTTAGCGAGAAAAAGAAGAAAGAAGCAGGAGCAGCAGCAGCAATGGACGTGGGCAATAACCGCGTGTTAAATTTAACCGGCAGAGTTATTGCCGAATTCTGAGACCGGGGAATGGAAATAATACGGTGTAGAATGGCATCCTCCTCTTCTTTTCGGTTACATCCACGGAACGAGTGGAAAGCGTGGGCTTATTACACTGAAAACTCGTTTAAAGTTTACTCTTTACCTCCTGCTCCTCTTCATCTCATTTTTTTTTTCCTTCTTTTCTGTTTCTTGTTTAGTCATTCTCCGAGGCGTTTGCTGCACATTGTGTTAATTATGTATCATTATCAACTTTGTATCATCCCCAGACGCGATTAAAACAGAAATATCTTTGACTTCATTTCATGATTCTGATTGTTAATCATAACTTCCCTTCGTCTGCTTTAGTATATCTACAATCATATCAATCGCTTTATTATTTCTATAAAAAATGAAATATTGTAAAAACGTCATCTTTCAATCGATATATGAACAAACAATTTTGATTGCAACTATATCTTGTGATCATCTATAAAATTACAATATTTTGCTTTTGAACAAATATAACAATATTGTATATTTCTGATGTAAATATCGATTAGATTTAGCGGAACAAAGGGCATTCGATATGAGATTGACTTTATCATTTCGGGGGCGGAAAAGGGCAATTGGCGACGTCCGCCGTCTCAACGGGCATCTAAATAAATGTTTTTTTTTGGGTGGATGGGGTGAATTGAGTGCGAGTGTCCATTCCGGATGTATGAGTGGGGGATAAATTTGCGATCGATTACGTAGAAACCAAATCTGGGCCATGTAAATACGAAGATCACCATAAGAGATAGCAAAACTTTGTTATTTTTTCCAATGGAACAAGGAGATTGCGTAAAGTGGAAGTCTCCCAAGGCGCAGCTCATTTAAAAATAAACGCGAAATATATAAAATACACACACGAATTCGTGTGTTTTAATAATTTAAAGTACATAAACATAATCAGATTTGAAAGAAAATATTTAAATGTCAAATATTAAACGTCATAAATGACATTTTAAATGTCATCTATATTGTTGATAAATGAAATGTCAAATTGGACGTTTAATTATTTTCATTATATTTATCTGTCAGAATTAAAACCTGAAATAATGTTCTGCTTTCGACGTATCAAGATTTGACGTTTGATGAATGTCAAATTTATTGACTTTTCTTATTTTCTCATTTTTTTTTTGTTTTCTCTGCGTGAATTGAATGATAGAGAGTTGGACGCATTACCTCCTGTTGTCCGTGTAATTCGAAGAGTCCAGGTTGTGTTGTGTGACTGGTCCTGTGGTGATGTCGACGCCCATGGAACCGATGTCGAGGGCGGCGTACGTCTTCCTGTTCGGACCGGAGGATAGAGGTGGCGGCACCTTGTGACCCATGTTGCAGATGTCGTCCAGCTCGTGGTAAAGGTCCTCGTAGATCTCGTCCGTGTTCGAGTTGAGGGCATCGTCCAGACGGGCCGGATCTAAATGGTAGTTCGGATTCTCGTAGCTGAGAAGCCCATTCTCTGAAAAGAAAAAAAAAACAAACAGGCTCAATCAGTTCATCTAAAACTCGACGTTCATCTTGAAGTTTCGCGAAAAGAAAACAAAGACTTATGTCTGTCTTTGTGGATTGATAGAAAAAGTAAACGTGATTCACGAAGTTCCGACAACTTCGCAAAGTCAAACACTGCGCGAACGCAAATTCAATTACTGCCAGACGTCCGGTCTCCTGCAGGAGGGACGCACTCTTTAACTTTCCTGAAATGCTTGTATAAACAGACTTTGAATGCATTCAATGTTGACAATACAGTAAAACGTTCGTCATTCAAAACAATTAATGCTTTTTTTTAAATAATTTAAAAACATTTGTAGGTTAAATAAAATTTGACATATGTCATTTTAAAATATTGACACCCGTCAATCCGATGCATTTGACATACATAATAAATGGTAGTTAGTGTATGTTTTTTAACGAAATTTATGGAATGAGAAATATGGAAAGTTCCAACAGTTTTCGTGTAAATATTTGAAAATGGGTAGGTATGAAATGATAAAATTGCAAGTCAGGTGAGAACGGATTTGGACTAGAAAATTTGAATACAATAACGTCAAATGGAAATCGCGCACCGAGCGAGTATGACAAACAAAAAAAAATAAACATATGCGTTGCGACTGCTTTATTTATCGTGTGTCCGTGCGTGTGCACTTCATTTTCAATTGTTGTTCGCTGTAGCCGTGTGTTTGATTCGTTGCTGTTTTGTTTATGAACCGGAAATAATGCAATTACTCACGACCGGTTTTTCGGTTCAAGATCAGCTCCGCTTTTTTTTTCTCTCTGCGTGTGTGTGTGTGTGTACATGTTACGACACGTCGCATATAAATTCCATCTGTTATTATACTCGTTCTATTTTCTTTTTTATTTCGCTTTGTTCACTTCAATGTACACGTTGTTGCGTTTCATTTGCGTTACGTTACGTACTCTTCTCCCGAAATCAACGATGCGTTCAGAACGATCATCGAAACAAAACACACACACACAACAAACAAACTCAAGGACTCTGAATCCTTTCGATTCAATGCAGATGGGAAACAGTTTTCAGCCGGAAATCAATGATGCGACCATCCGAATTTCCAAACCTTTTCGCTTAATTATTACATCTGTATTGACACACTTCTTTTCTACAAAAAAAAAATATGTAATAGATTCGAATCTCATCTGCGGATTCATTGAGAAACGCAATGGGAAGTACAACAATAACGATCAGCGGCGTCTTTGATTGTTTAATTAGTTTACGTAACTATGGAAACATTTTCTTAATCAAATTTTTACAGATATTTTTAGAAATTTATTTTTTTACAAATATTGAAAACATGTATAAATTCTTTATATTTTATAATCAGTTATCGTAGATAATTTTTCATTTAAAACAATGATAGAGAAATGAATTAAACTTTAGTATTATAATGAATTTGAATCAGAAAATGTACTTGTATTAAAAAAAAATAGCGTTATATAGACTTTCAATACGGAATTTCAAGAGTATCAATTTCATCTGATAAATTGGAAATGTGTTTTTGATATAAATTTATGTGTTTGTGTAATTTTATGGATGTTTGCGAATGAGTATTCGTTTGTTCATGGTTGTTTATTTGCAGCGGAGAAACGAACAGGAAATAATTCAGGGAAACAATAATTACATTAGGAAGGACGAGAGGGTGGCGCCCTCTCGTCCTCCCACGATGCGAACGAACGGTGAACGACGGCGCAATTTCCAAATGGAACCGTATCGTTCCCAAGGCAACACTATTAGTTCGCCAAAGTTGCACAATTTTGCACTCGCAAAACAGGGGAGGCGAAGAGCACGAATCCCAGAGCTCTTTTATTCCAGCCACCACCCCTACAAACATCCACCTAATGCACACATCCGGTCAGACCGGAAATAAATATGTATATATATTTAAATATACACGAAGACATAGAAATTGCGTTAGGGGTCGATGAATTCTGGAAGAAATACGTAGATGCTAAATAATAATGGGAAAAAGTGCATTAGTAGGCATGAAAGGAGTTTGCATTAATTCGGTGTCGAAGCCCATGAGATCATCTCAGACGGCGTGATGTCATCACGTCTCTATGGCAACATTAAAAATAGTAAAATCGAGAATCTGGGAACGCGCGCTGCTGCTTCGTCGATTGATCAAACAGCGGGATTGTTCATTCCTGCGACCCAGAATGCTAAAACTCTGTCAAAACGGCTTAATCAAAAGCGCATTACGCAATGCAGGGTTATCCATGGTAAACTGTTGGGGGAAGGATGCCGCATCTCCATAATTTCGCAATTACCGCGTTTTCGGATGGGACACGAAAACAATGCGCGCACTGCGATTACACTTAATTTCATTGCCTCACATTACGCAGTAAACGCGCTCTTTTCAATTGCCGTTTCAGGAATTTCCTATTCGCTTCAGTGACACCGCCTTTCCGCAGTGCGACATCTACATTCGATTCATGGAACCCAAAATAAGACAGTTTAATCATAACAAAAAAAAATGATGATAGTAACCACAAACAATCTGATACGAAGGTTGTAAGTTCGAAACTCAAATAAAAATGTGATTATATAATATAAGCACCATTTTCAATCGTAATACCAAAAATTAATAGAAAAAATTATATGATTCAAATTCATTTTAGTCGTACGCCATCTACATTTATCAATTAGAATCAGGATGACAGTAATACAAAATAATTAGTTTCTTTTTTTTTATGAAGTGCGATAATAAAATCTAACTTTTGTGCTTCAGAAGCGGTGAAAGGACGGACGAAAAAAAATATTAGGAATTAAGTGCGCAATTAATTTTTGGCCGAATTTAATTTGCGTAAGAGCGCCGAGTTAATTGTTTTGGCGTCGTTCGCCGAAAGTTTCTTTCGCGAGTCGAATGTTTATGGTTTCGCCCGGGCCCATTTAGAAATTATCGCGCACTTCCGGCCATCTCCTCGCCCCCCAAAAATTAATTGAATTTCATCTCCTCTCCCCCAACCCCAAACAAAAGTAGAAACAACAATGTCCGTCTCCGAAGAGATTGTTTTCATTAATTGTTGTCATAGTTACATTAGAAAAATACTGTTTATTTTAGTGTTCGTAAAAGAAATACTAGAATATTTCATAATTTAGATGTAATTATTAGTAAGTTCGTGTGTGTGTGATTCTCAAAGGAGGAGAGATCATCAAAAGCTTCGACAACGTGCATTAACATATTAATATCGATGTTCTTCGTCTGCGCCGACGATACGTGACCGAATTACCAATTTCCATCAACTACAATCCTTGCATACGATTAAAATCCGCACATGAAAGAAAGAAAGAAATGAGTTTACGATGCAAATCACTTTCTTCTTTGTAAATAGTATGCACACTTTCGCGACTTTCTACGTCGAACGGATCGGACGGGATTAGCTAAAGCAATAAAGGATTAAAGGGTGCAGTGAAACAAAAGAAGATGAAGAAAACAATTGCTTGTAACGTTGCTAAGGAAGGTGTAGGTAGTAATCCTTGCGAGGGATTTATTAAGTAATAGAGGTTGTGTGTAAGTGCCGTTTGAGATGGCTGGCGCCACCTTAAAACGACGCCGTAAAATTAGTTTTATTGCTTTAATTTAAGGATTAGCCCCCCTCCGGGAGCTTGGGCATTAAAACCTCCCGCGGAACGTTAAATTTATCGCTGCCCGTCGTCTTTGGTCGCTCTTGCAACGCAAACTAACACCTTTTCCTATAGAATTCGAGCGAAAACAAAACGAAAAGAAAAACACAACGATAAATATAGGTTTGTTTACTCTGTTGCCTAGGATATGCTTCGATTGGACATCTGACAGATTTACGTTTATGTTTACGTAAGGAACATGACTCATCGCTGCAGCCAGAAATTAAAAATCAGCTCATCAGAGCTGAAAGGACTTTCGTTTGTAAAAATAGTTACAGATAACTATAATCATCTCATTTCAACTATTTGAAATATGAAAATTTGACATCTGTCACCAATTGTTTTGCATAAACGTCATTTTGTTATTTTGTCAAATAGTTGAGTGAAAATGAATCCACGTTAATTCGTTTAAGGTGAAATTGGATTACATAAAAAAAAATGAAGTTCAAATGAGAAGAGGGGCGTACAAAAATACGAACAAAATAAAACGAGCAATTCCCTACAGTTTTAATACCATGGGTTTCCCCACTCACGGCTAATCCCATTACGTGTGCCCCGAAGGGGGGGATTGATTGGATTACGTTCGATATCATTCCGTGCATTCCCGAAAGCGATTTATAATAATAATGGACGTCGGACGAACAAGAGTTTTCATCTCTACGCAAAAGTTTTCCCTTCCCGCTAATTAGATTTGTGTCCGTCTCCGGATCCGCGATAAACAGTGCAATTAGCGGGAGAACGGCACCGCGGGGAGCATTACCCAAACTCGAGCCCTTTCCCCCCGGCTCTTCATACACCGAGCTTCTGGAATTATTAAATTCTATCCTCCTTCCCCCCATCCGCGGAATTATGTGGATCGCATGACATTGTCTCTGTATGTGCACTCACTTTCTCGCCTCATCCCCCCACTGTTTTCCCCAGTAACTTTTAACCAAATTACCCCCTCATAAAATTGATACACGACGTGCATTCTACCTCCTTAACTTTATTACCTTCCCCCCGTTCGCCCGTGCATCGCAATTTCGAGCTTAATTTGCTGCTGCTGCTGCTTTATTAGTGCGCTGCGGTTGGCAACACGTGTCGACTTCCTACCTCGATAAACAGCATCTCAAATTTGATCTTCTTCAATTTATCACCAATACAGAATCCGAATCTCTGAATCCATTAAATAAACGTCAGCAATAAACATTGCTTAGCAACCACTGAATACAAAGTTGGTATCTATTTCTTGACAAGTGACAGCTGTCACATTTGAAAAACCATGCAAAATATTAATAATATTGTAAATTCATTCACTAATAACCATCCTTTATTACATTTTG